GATAGAAAAGACTGTGACCAAGTGATCTAGTGATTGTTGAGTTTGCTGTTTTGGCCAAGACATTTTCACAGTACAAGCATGAGGTGATGGTGGTATAAAATAGGAAGAAAGTTAAGAAACAGACTTCTTCCAGGTGGTCACAAAGCTGAGAAAACAGGAAATATATGCTTTATCTTCTTCACTGGTAATTGCATTTTAATTAATCATCCCTGCTTTTTCTGCTACTGTTATCAATCAGCTTGACCAGTGGAAGTGCCCTCATAACTACCTCCACTAAGTGGATTTTTCAGAGTGCTTTATTTTGCATATTTAGAGCTATAAAACAGGAGACATCCACAAGCTTTCAGAGATGAATTAAACTTCCCCGAGCTGGGAATTGTTATACTGTATGTAGGAAGACTTGAAGCTCATTTTGAACTTTGTGGTGACCACTGTGACAAAATTAAAGAAACCCTCCCCCTCATAGAAACTACTAAAATGGCATCATCCCAACATACCAAAGACAAAATGATGTTCTAGAGCAACTTAAGACCACTAAAACAGTGTAGCCTCTTCAGGGCTTATCTGTAGCCACTTCTTAAAGAAATATCCCTATCAGCTTGTAAAACTTGAATAGTTTGAATTATTTCAAAGACCTACAAAGACCAAGGTAGGAAGAACATATGCAAGGGCTTCTTGAGCCCTCCAGCCTCTACTATTTTTCTGAAGTTGAAATAGTGGCAGAAGTATTTGAGCAAGTATCTTCTCATCTTCTTGTCTGCCAGATGGTGTTCCAGAGGGCACTAAAGCCCAGCTGCAAACAGTACACCCAATGTGACTTGTGCCTTCGGTGGAACGCTTCAAAAGCTACCCAATTTGGAACAGAAAAGTAATGATATAACTAATGATGTATATCTGTGAGGAGAATTTATAAACGCAGCCCCCAAAAGTACTTCCTGAGGCAAAAGTTGGGATAAATGAGTTAAATAAGATAGTAACAGAAACTTGGCAAGAGTCTAAAGTTGTATGCATCTGATTACTATCAGCTCCTTCAAGACATAGTTTTTGTATGGACACTATCATGGAATTGTTTGCAAAGTGTCAGTTCAACAGAACTAAATTACGAGTCAACCCTAAATTATATATTAGATGCTGGATAGGTATTTACCTCCAGTAACTATTTATTTTCCTTTAATTCTTACAAAAAAGACCCAAAGAACAATAGCAGAAGCAACAATTCTATAGCAATGTCCAGGACTCATCTCAGCCAGACAAGGGGTAGGGCTGTCATGGAGTTCTTATTGTTTCTTGAAGCCACAGAGTAAGAGGAAAGGCAGTACTACCAAATGGTCGAGAACTCTATTTGCCAGCAGTGGGCAAGGCAAATATGTACACACATTTGTTATTAATGAAATAGAATTACCAAACTTGGAAAGATAAAATACAGGCAGTGTGGTGGTTATCACAGAGTATTACATTTACTTAGAAATGCTATGACCTGCCTCAAATGTGTGCAGACATAAAGGACTACGTATCTTCAAATATATCTACAGAATACAAGTATAAGTAGCAGAATTTTGTTTCTTGCTTAGACAGATAAGCTATAGTGACAAGAGAAAGAACTGAGAGAGTATAGCAAAGGAAACTGATAGACTGTCTTCCATTCCACTTTTTCCTATTGGTCAGATCCTCCTTTTCACGTGGAGGAGCTGGACATGGTGACAGAGAAGAAGGGTTGTCTGAGGTGTCTTGGCTGGGCCTTACTTTGAGCTGTCACTGTGTAACATTTAGCAGATTCATCCCTCTATCCCCTTAATGCTCTCTGTTTCTTTGAGATTTGGTAAACAGAAACAAAGCTCATGCAAAAGGGTAAAGGAGAATCAACACCATTTGCTGCCTTCCTTACAAACAGGACCCCTTGTTTTGCACCATAGTTTCCATGATTAGGCTGTGTAGAAAGCAACACTTTCCTCTAGGAGCTGTTGGATAAGACTACATTGCAGGCATTATTAATCCAGCACCAGTACTGAATCAAAACATTAACTTTTTGTCCGGTATTTTCTTGAAAATGCAGTGTTATTATTAGTGAGGTACCCTCTGCTGAGAATACTGAAAACCAATGTATACTCTAAGTTAAAATGCAGCTTGCCCAAGATAACTTTCTTCATCATGGAGAGAAACCTTCATGTCTAATATATATCAAAGGCAACTGCAGGAGTGGGCAAATGATGCAACAGGTGCCATGTCATTGGAACACAAGCTCCTTTCCTTTAATATCTGTGTTGTGATGTCACAAGCACATATATAAGGGGAGGAGCTTGCATGGCAATACTGTGACACTCATTTTGTCATTTTGATGAAGCTGTTGAATTCTGTGAATACCTCTGTGCAAATCAGGTGTACTGGGTAATAATTCCTATTATATTCAGCCAGTATGACCAGTGACTATGATGACTAGGGATTGTGTGAACTACAGTCCAGATTCCAAAACATCTGGAGAGTATCAGGTTGGGGAATGCTGTTGTACGTTCATTATGCTTGTGCTATAAAGGCAAGGTCAGTGTTTTGCAATTAGGTTGCTGTAGCTGAAATTTTCACCAGATTCTGACTCTAGAGGTTCTTGTAAATTAAGATATAGGCCCTGCTACCAGAAGAGAGAAGTGTAGTTGTGCAAGAAATGTTGCAGATGGTACACTTACTTTGTGCAATTTCTTCAAATCACAGTATGCCCAAGCTCTCACTTGCACACATAAACACAGAAACATGAATATGCTTAGCCTGTTGGTACAACAGTAAATGCTTCTACATAGCAGAGCATGCTAAGAGCGACTGCTGCTTGGCACATGCTTAGCAAAAGAGCCCCCACACTCAAGCACATTGTTTCATCCCCCCATTCCCCAATCTAGCACAACACTGATTGCTGAGATTGCATCCCATAGTCCTAGAAAATTTGCTATTGTAACACATGCTGCATGCTGGATCAGGAACTGAACATTGTTAGCTGGACAGTAGCTGCTTAAGGTCAGAGCCTTTACTTTGATAGGAGCTGTGCTGTGACAGGCCATACCGAGGTAGCTGCTCAAACTTGACAGCTTTTTGACAGCTTTAGCTTTTTCCTCCACTCACCATTAGAGATGCAGAGAGGGGACATGACTAGCATAACAAAACAACCCTCTACAAACCAACAGAATAAAATAAATTTCTATTTTGCCCATAGCACCATTATAGTAGAATTTGTGTATCCAACCAAGGATACCAAAGGGAACAAAAAGTATTCCTGAGGCATTGAACATGTGTCTAACCATCATGGGGTAGTAGTGGAGCAGGTATATGAGCCAAGGGAAAGCTAATTTGCAGTTCCTGGGTGTTGTAGGGAGCTCCATTGGACATTAGGTAAAAAGAAAAAAGAAAAAGACAGCCCACAAGAGCTCTTGTAAGATAATAGGAGAAAGGAGTATTGTGAATGCTGCCTTGAGCTTCTGGGTAGAAGGCAGGAGATAAGTTTAATAAATAAATATATAAACTCCCTTATTCTTCTCCTGACAGAGGTTTGTTATTTTTTTCCCTTGGATTGCACTAATATCTCTTGAAGTAGGATTTGTTTCTTTATTTTGTTCAGTTAGTAATTTTTTTTTTTTTACATTTTTTAAGAGACACAGCTTGTCCCCATCCTTTAATGTTTTAAATCTTGGCTACAAAACGAGCTTAGCCTGCTACTAGAGAGCTCACATATATGGTTTCGAATAAATGTTACCTACTTCTGAGCACTAGTTACTGATGCAAATTGAAAGCAATGTGTACCAACTTCTCAGTGCCTACAGACTGTTAATGCATCATAGTGATACTTAGTCAGACAGGCAACAGTAGCTTGGAGTGCAGGCAGGGCAAAGTGCCTGCAGTTCTATACTTCCTCTCATCATGCCCTTCTGTTTGCCAAGACTGAGAATAAACATTCATCTCTATCTCTGCTGGACCTTCTGGATTGCTTGATCTTTTTACATCGATTGCCAGCTTAAGACCAGAAGGCTGTAAAAGTATCCAAGAACTTCCCTACCTAAAATACCTGATGACATCTTGGTATATTGGGAGTGGAGTAGAGGTGCAGGCAGTGGTAGCACTAAGAATATAAGGGAATGCTGATTCTGTGATATTAATAGGAGTGCATGTTGGTTTTTCCATCATCTGTGGATAAATACATTGGGATAGAGTTAACTTCTGATGCATGTAAGGCACTCTTTCAGTTATATTTTTAGAAAAGCTTACATCTATGCTGCAATACCACAAAGCCCCTAGCTTAGGAGAAATAAGTATCTTCCATGAATTTAATGAGATTAAGATGAGGGGTGGAGTCCAAGGCTGAAGTCATGAAGAAGAAGTATTGATATCTGGACATCTTCAGTCACAGAATGGAGAAAACAACCTATACCCTGCCCCTCAACCCTCTCACTTTTCCAGTGTGCTGCCTATGACTAAGTGGGATGGGAGAATCCTAAAAGATAACAGATGCTGTGATGTGTAATGGCCAGTGTATTTCATGTACCCTTTTCTAAATGGGTAACTGAATTATTAATTATAAAAAACCAGAAGAAAATTTTTTCAGTGTGATATTTATGTTATGATACCATTTCCTTTTCAAGTGTAATTGAAATGAAATATCATATTGAAAAGTAACCCTGCCCTTTTTTGGATATGAGTAACATACGATGTTGATTGTCTTTTGTGAAACATTTGTTTGGCTCAGAGCTAGAAAGATGTTTTCATTTTATTTGTGATGTGAAAGCAAAGCCTTCACAGCATGATAATTCTTGGAAAGATTGTGCAGTCCTTATATGAAGAATAGATTGAAACATTATTTCATTTTGCATCAGTACAGGCCCTAACATCACTGTCTCCTTATGTGAGTGAATACATGTCAAAGAGAATGAGGGAAGCTGTTATCTTAGAAGCAAGAGGATGCTGAGATGAGGAAGTTACCATAGGTTTCAAGTTCAAAGAAGGCCAAATTAAAAAAAAACCCTCACCTGGTTTTCAGCAGGCAATCGTGGCATGGAGGCAGCCCGTCCATGACCCTCCATGGGTAAATACTGGTCACTATCTGAGTAGCCATCTTTTGCCATCTCCCGCATCTCTACAGACTTAATTAGACAAGGAAGATATTAGGATTAGAAGCATAAGAAGCCAGATAGAAGAAATGTTATTCTTTTCAACAGCTAGGGCAATTGGGAGAAACAGAAATAATAAACTGCAAAGATGAAGAAATACTACAACTTTCAAAAATTACTTAGTCATTGCTAAATAATTTAAGTGCTTTTTCTAGCAGAGTGAATTTCATTGTTCACTAGCTCTTACAAAGCTTTCCACCCAAGATCAGAGGGAATGAACATTTGGTTCCAATACATGCATCTCTATCTCCCAAGGAACTTTAAAGACAAAACCAAAACATTGAGATATCCTTGGAGCTCCCAGAATACAGCAGGAGCTTATTGGTACAAGAAAAATTATCCCCAAAATGCTTCAGCACTGGAACATATATAAGCAATAGAGGCACTATATTCTATTGATATGATAAAATCTGGAAAGGCCCTTAGGCAAGATGGGATAATCATAGACTGGTATAAAAAAAATAAGGAGAAGTATCTTCTATACATCTGGAGATATTTCAGGTATCTTATGAAAATAAAGCCCTGTCAGTTTTATATATGAACCTTACATCACTAATTTTGAAGTCAGTTATGGATCCTACCCATGTATTTCATCTGAAAGCTATGTTAAACGTTGATGCTAAGATTCTGCAGCTACATTGGTGAAATTTCAGTTGTTATTACCTGCAATAACTCATCCTGCATAATATGGTTACATGAAAGGGCATCAAGCTTCAGATAATATATGGCTTCCATTTGATATAATAGTGTTGTATGTTGATACACATTAATCTATGCTGCTAGCTTCTTTGGATGTGGAAATTTTTTTTCATATAGTTCAAATCAAACTTTTATCCAAGTGTTGCAGAAGTTTAAATTTCCTATAGAATTTATTTCTTTTATTACAATTTATTACCTTAATCTATCCACTCACATAACTACTAATGTGGTTATTTCATTAATAATTAAAATGCAACATGGAACTCATCAGGAATGTTCCTCAGCTCTAATTTTTAATGTTATGTTGAAACTCTGGTATGCCTAATAAGACAAGCTAATGAAGTTAAAGGAATTAGCTTAGATGAATATGACTAAATATGTTATTTTATGCAAATTATATTTAATTTTTTTGCAATGATTACCAACTATCTTTATGTAAATTTGTAGAAGTGGTACATTTATATGGGAAATATTCTGAGTATGCAAAAAATTGGAGTAAGTCAAATATTATGCCAGTCAGCAAGAAAGTTCAGGTTATAGAGAGAATTGGATTTGTATATAATTGTCCAACAGCTATTACTTTCCCCAGTAAAATATCCAATTTAATGGATAAGAGCAGTTCAAAATTTATCATGCAGGTAAAAAACAAAATTAAGAGGTGGATGAAAATACTGTTAAGTTTGTGAGGAAGAATTAATGTTGTGACTAAATTTTGCATCAAGACTGATACATACTTTAAGAGCAATGCCTATGTTGGTTCCATTAAAATATTTAAAATAAATTGATAAATTAATGATTAATTTTTTCATGGAAGTTACAAATACCCAGGATCTCCTTGTTAATAGTCTATCTTTCTTATGATGATGGTAGTTTTAATTTGCCTAATTTTAAACAATACAGTTGGATTTATCGGTTAATTTCAATCAGGATGGAATTGATATTGATTAGTTAACATTGTGGGTTCAGCTTGAGAGTTATTACTTACTACTCTTGCAGTCCTTGAAAGTTCTTGGTTTTAATTATATTTGATTACCTTTCCAGCACTGAAGGTGCTTAAATATATCTGTCCCCAAAGTGCACCCATTGCTGCTATAATTGAGTCCTTGCTGCTAGTCATCCCCTTTTTCTTGTTTCTTCTACCTTTCCCAGCATTAGAGACTTCTAAAGAGAGCTAGGTCTTTGCATAACATGTCCAAAATATGATAATTTGATCCTGATCATTTGTGTCTCCAGTGAGAGCTCTGGATTGATTTGTTCTCTGATCCATTTGTTTGTTTTCTTAGCTATCCGTGCTATCCTCAGGACTCTTTTCCAACACCAAAGTTTCTATACTGCTTCTTCAAGGTTCAACAGTCACTTCCACAGAGTGTCGCAGGGAAACCCATTGCCTGCGTGATTCTGGTCTTTGTAAGTATAGATACATCCTGGCATCTGCATATCTTTTCCAGGACCTTCATTGTGACTCTACCAAGTGCTAGTCTGCGGTGTATTTCTTGACTGCTAGTTCCTTTACTGTTGATAGTCAATCCTAAAAGGCAAAAGCTATCTACCACTTCAGTATCTTCATTGTCAGTTCTAAGGCTGATACCACCCTAATGGCTGAAAGTGAAGAAGAACTAAAGAGCCTCTTGATGAGGGTGAAAGAGGAGAGTGCGAAAGCT